TTGACTTCTGCTCAAATTTCATTTAATTTCATTTAGCTTGTAGTAATTAATTAAATGAAAGAGAATACACTTGTTAATAATTTTCTTGAGTTTCACCATCCTTGATAAACGTGCAAATTGCGATCAGTTTCATAGTGACATCAAGTAAGATCATAACAGCCAAACTCAACTCAACCCAACCTTAGAAAAAAAACATGGCGACAAACGTCATGTCGAGACAAAATCTGTTTTATTTTAAATCAAGAGAGGGTGCAAACCGTATTTATCTTATACAGTCTGGGGTTGGGATTAAATTATGGTTCATTTTAACCTACAAAATAGTTTAATGTTGCCCAGTAAGTTGCCTAAAATAAACGAGAACTTCAATTTAGCCCCCCAATTTAGTTAGCACAGCCAAGTTTATTGGGCAATACGGCCGTTTCACAATAGTGCGCCTCTAAGAATTTGCAACGCGTCGGCCAATCACAATGCGCGAAACTTGTCGACCCTATGCGCATTTGGAAAGGGTCCACACATTTCGCGCGCTATGATTGGCCAACGTGTTGCATACTTTTGGTGGCGCACTATCGTGAATCGCCCGTAGTATGCATTCCCACTTGTTTAACTATAACCCAGGCGGCCGCGGTTCTCATTGTGATCACTAGTGTAGTATGAGTCATTTCATCAACGAAATATGGGAACAACTAACTTGGAGGATTTTTTTTCCCGGTTATTGTTGCAACCGTGAGTAAAATATGGGACACAAATCGAGATGCAACTAGTAATCTCAGGGACCATTCGATCAATAGATTGTAGGGAACATGCCTGAGTAAGGGCGCCCTCATACCTCCATTATCGGTACACGTCACGGAGGTAATTAACATAAAGTTTATACTTTGGGGCGCTTCCCAGGAACGCAGTGTCAATGTGGTCTCTTTGCTTTGGGGTCTCGAATGTAGAACCGGTCTCTCTGCATTTTGCTTCTATTAATTTGCAGGGAGCGTTTCCTTGGCCATGCTCCTGAGTGTAGGGGAGTGTCAATGCAAGGAAACCCTAGTAAATACTTATCATTGTATAAATATTTCACACGATCTTCGGTCGGAGAAATTGTAAGATTTACGGGGCTCAACGTGGTAAGTGTTCTGATTAGGACTGTATAACGTGCCATGCTGTATTGGTCAGCTAGCTGTGTTAGCCATGTGGTCCTAGGCCTGTTAGCCTTTGATCATCACATCCATTGTATTATTATTTACGGTGCCGTCTAGCCACCACACTACACCTACTGTTTTCATATTTAATAAATCGTAGTTCTGGAGTTAGAAATCATTTATTGTTCACGTGTTCTCCAAGTGCTTGTCCGCTTTAATCAATTAGGGACCGTTTTCCTTCCTCCCACTGTCAAACTGACGTGAGGCTGGTCCGCTTCAAGGTTGTTATGCCATGAGATGAGCTTATCTTAATCTTTTGAAAACGATAATAATATTGTGTAAATAACTGAGGGAAACCTTTCACTTTAAGTAACATAATGAGACATATGACCACTTCAAGAGCAGAATAGAAAAGGGTAAACATTTGCTTGTGTTCTTATTTTATTAATAGTCCTGCCCTTAACCAAGGACGGCAGTAGGTCTATTGCATATGATTAATGAAAAGTACACAATGGAATGTACAGTGTGTTTGAAATAATCCCCTCTTATATACGCACACATAAAGTCATAGCTTTCGGTAAAAGAAATCTGGTAAAGAAATCCATCAGTTTTTATCATGTGTTTTTAAATGTAAAGTGAAAACGTACCTTTTTATTTTTGCATTTGTCCAGTGATACATTGCACTGCAGGATTCGTGATTTTATTTTATTAATTTTAACTAGTAGGGTTATTAACTTTTTTTGACGTAGGTTTAGCTGTCATTCGTTATTTTAGTGGCACTGTGTCGGGTGTAATTACTTTTCTTTTATCGTAAATAGGGTTAGAGGTGTCTGTCCCCGGGAAAGATCGAGACATCACCGATGCCAGCAGGGTTAGGTTCTCCCTGTTGGCGGGGCAGACGTATCTCCATACAGCGGTTTGGATACTAGCGCAGTGACATTCATTCATTTATTCTTATTCATTTATCTTTATCTTTCATTTCTTAAATTAAATTCATCAAGTTATTTTTTATGTAGACTTGTACTGCGCCATTGATCATTTTTATGGAAACGGCGCATTATGAATAATTATTATTATCAAACATGTTATTGAGCGCATTTTGACATCAAAGTTCGTGAAAGGATCGCTCAGTCATAACCACTTTCCAAACTTTTCCAGAACATGTGCAGATACCCGGACTTCGGCAATCGTGAACTCATCTCTCTGCTGTTCTTACGCCGGTGGTACGCGAGCGTTACATTCCTCTCTGACCAATAGGGAGTCGTGGCTTGCCTAAGTACGCGCGCAGTGTAGCGTGGGAAGACGGTTCTGTAACAGCCCCGTTCCCGTGGGCACGATCTCGCTGGGCCATGTTGGTTCCCACTTTGCCTTGGCGATCTAACCCCTGGTACTGTATAATTTAAATATCCTGCTCGGTTTGGAAAAATGTATCTCATAAAAACAAACTTGGAAAAAATATACTTCGCTTTTTCAACAAAAAAATATAATTGATGGCACTCCAGGGCTTTCATAATCCACAAATCATTGTAACATTCAGGTTTTCTTCTTGGGATGACATCACAGTTGGTAATGATCGCCATGTTATGGATAAATTTGATTAAAGAAATCCTTGTAGGCAAGCTTTACTCTTGTTTTGCCACATCACTCAGGACTGTTTAAAGTCGTCATCCGACCAAACACTCCTGTGTTGTGTTCAATTGGTCATTCTAGTCTTGCTAATCAATCACATTTCCTTGTTGGTCATACTCTTAAGTAGCAACTGTCACAGTGACATGCGACTATCAGGTGAGAGAGGAAATCATTTTGGAGATCCTCAAATAAAGATCTGTTCTACATTCACTTGGCATTATTTTGGGATGAGAATTGGCATTGAATTTGTCACAGTGTAGAGGCCCGAGGTAAGCGAGTGCATGGCTTATCAAGAAGTAGTCGATTTCCTGTACGAAGCATTATGAAATATAAGGCCACAAGGCAAAATCGAACAGTCGCGGCGAGGGTGATAGTCGCTGTTTGACGCCTCAACATCGCTTTTTTTTTACCTCAATATCTTAAGATATTGCATTCAGTGATTCAAAGTCTATCACAACTTGTCCTAAGAGAGGACAAATAGGCCTACACATTTTGTAACACGAAAAGGAACTTAAGGAAATTCTTTAAATACTCTGCCAGTTGTTATTTCTTTCCAGTTAGGCCTATTTGAACTTTTTTTTTCAGCCGACGGTGCGCAGGCATTTTCATTGTTCCATTATCGACGCCCGTGAAGAAGTGTTTGATTTAATGAAAAAATGGTGTGTGTACTATGCGTACGGATAGTTGGCATGGAATTGAATGTAATTGTGGCCTTTCGAGCAGAATTCATTCAACGCATCAACCGGCCGTTGTTGCTACCATGGCAACTAAAACGAATGACTTCAGCGAGCACGCACGCGAACGGAAATGCAACATTTTACGGAGGTACTAGGTGTGCCGTCTCATAGTTTAATAGCAAGAAATGAAGACGAGTTGGATAGATATGAATGATCTGCGCTACGTTTTGATTCTGACTTTGGCTCCTGGGCTGGTTTGCTCCTTCTGCTTGCTAGCCGTGCAAGGAGAGATATGTAGTGCTATGGCCAAGGCTTCAGCAGGTGACGATCTGGGCTCGCTCCGCCGGAGGGCTTTTACGGCTTTCCAAGCAGAGTGCCGTGGAAAACCAGGCGATCTCGGCTGTACTGCATGTAAGTCTTATTAATAAACCCCGTTTCTTTGTTTATCGGCAGTGCGTAGTTACTTCATGCGGTCCTATACCTTACATTCATACTTTGCGTCCATAAAAAACCACAAAATAGAGACCTATCTTTGCATAGTGAATGGGCGTGTATGCACACGCCGTAGAGTTTTTTTCAGTCCTACATTTTTGCTCTCCTTCAGCACATGAGCCTCCAGCCAAGACTACGCATATGAACGCGCCACCGATCTAGACTTTCTGTTCTACATCATATAGTCCGAATGCATGGTCATGGCTCATGCGCCGGGCGTCTTTCCGTTGCTGTGGAGGGCAGATAGGTTTGCCAGACTTTGTCATCCAGATAAAAACGAGCCTTTTATTCCTACACAGTAATCCTACTTACATCACCCAGAGTTATACTGAATTTTAAATGTGATCGCAAACAAAACTAAGAACCGAAAGAACACTAAAACTAAATGGCATAAGTTGACAATGAGGGATATATTAAGAATATTACGTCACGTCTGAGAACGAGTGTGATTGTCATAGTCTGATGGCACAAGGGGAGCTGCAGTAGGAAGCGAGTTCGTTTCAATTAGTCGGTCACTTGACACGTATTTCACCTTGAAAACACAACAGTGGATTGCTTCGTTTCTGCCACAGCATTAAAATCGTGTCACGTGATCTTACAGAAATTATGCACCCTAGCCCTGGGGTTGATCAACACTAACTATATGCACAAGTCATTATGTTGTATCCAGGCATTAACGAGTCAAAACATGACATTCCAAATGTCTCGTATTGGGCACCGTACATATCCTTGGTCTAATCAGCACATTGTGTTTTCTAATTCAACTGCCAAATTCAGAAGACGAGTGAATCGTGCAAATTATGACCTTGTCTGAATATTTCCTTTCAGCTTGTTCATTCGCCCTGGAGCCTTCAGACCCTCCTGGAATCACGTTCATCCTACAGCCCCTGTATGAGCCTTTTCGTCTGAGTTTCCACGTGAAGACCGAGCGCGATGCCATGTTAGTCTTGGCGGAAGAAAAGACAGAAGAATCTTCGTTTGCGTGGATAAGTGAGTATCGTTGACAATCACTTGAAGTACGGGCATGATTATTTTACCAAATTTTATCCACACGCAGTTCCTTAATTTAAAAATTGCCCAGCTTCTTGAAACGGGCTGAAATTATTTTCGATATGACATGAAACCCAAAGAACACAGAGATAATCACGGGTGCCTCCGTTGCTTGGAAAATAGTGCCATGTCTCGAGCTTACTCGGGGCCCACATTGTTATGACATTTTCATGTTTTCCTTATACTTTTCTCTGAGAACCGAAGACTTCATTCAAGTCTAAATATACAATATAATTGTATTATGTCATTCTTAGCAAATAAGTAAATTTGATAAAATATCATCTGAGGGACGCATAGCAGCTTTGACTTCGCCCGGGCTCATAAAGTCATATACCTATCCCATATCACAGCAGTCAATAATTGTTTTGCCATAATATATTTCAATATTTCAACACCTGAAGTGTCTGGGCTTTTGCCGACGCACTTTTTTCCATTCCTCTATGCACAGATAGTTTCCAGGACGCGCACGGACTCGATGCGTCGTTTTGTGTCGGTCGCATGTGTCTTGCTCGAAAACCAGATCTTAATGTCCTAAAAAATTATTGCAAGAGAGATTTTTTAAAGGAATGAGTTAGTGCAGAATCACTATTTGAAACACTGGTCTTTGTTTCTGAAACAATTAAAGCGCTCCTGATCGTATCGTATATAAACTAGTTCGCTGTTCCCTCTTCAACTTATTGTTATTAACTGTTCACACGAGAGTAGAACAGGTACCAATGGAAACGAATGCAAACGGTCCTGGGTTGTGGTTTGGGCTGCGGAGACTATGAAATCACGTGTGTGACATGCGCTAGGATGAGGGTGATATGCTTTTTTATT